CAGTGGTCCCATAACTGCTGAAACACACACCTAAATGTGAATCAACAGCATATATACTTGGCGTGCCATGACTCTAGCATAGCTATGAGCATTACCTCGTTCATGGTAAGGTGGCCCTTGCCAATTATGTGCAGGGGCCTCTCAGATAACCCGCAGGGGTTTTCAAATAAATGCTAAGGAGTTATTTGTTCTCTCTCTCTCTCTCTCTCTCTCTCTCTCTCTCTCTCTCTCTCTCTCTCTCTCTCTCTCTCTCTCTCTCTTGCGTGTTCTCACACATAACAGCCCCCTTTTTTTTCTTCTTTTTTTTTGTGCGCGCCGCAGGTATGCACCAACCCCAACCCCCCATACCCCCCCCCCTTCCCCAAAAGTTTCTCAGCGGCTTTGGGCTGTACTCAGCAAGCGCAGTACAGCCCCCAACTCAGATTTGAAAAAAAAATCAGTGGATGGTAGATACTGACTGGTCGGCGGACCGCCGACCGGTCGGCCCTACTGGTCGGCTGCAATACGGTCGGCGGTCGGGGTCGGTGGTCAGCAGGGTTGCAACCCTGATCCTGACTGCATTCTTTCTGCCTGTTGTGACTGGATCGCCCCAAACCTTTCAGTGCGGTGTCCAGGGTCCGGAAAACCATATCGTCGTTAAGATATCTCCTGGGGCAGTGGTGGTTCAAATGAACAATGGATCAAATGAGATCAAAAGGTTAGTCCTCAGGTAACAGACAGCTGCTTGAAGTTGGAAGTTCCCTCTCGAGTTACAGAGTAAAAACATTCTTACCAGCTCTTTCACTGCCGTGAAGTGGTGCTCTGACATCAGGCAGTCTCCATTCTGCACAAACCAACACACATGCAGAGAAAGACGTAAAGGTGTTAGCGTTAGAGATTCTTTATGCTTGCTTGAAGCACACAGCGTTTCACCTTCTCCCTGCCACTTCTCAAGTTCCGATAGCGCATCCAAAAAAAACAGCCAAGGATATCAGGAAACAAAGTGTACAGCTTCTCTTCCCACACATCTTCCTTTTCTTCACACCACACCTCATCCCCTTATGAAGATGAGCCCTGGCACATCCACTTTGCTCGCACTGTAATGACCAGTTGGAGTTTTCAACTTCTGGCATACACATTCAGGAGAGCGCCACACCAACACAATGTTTAACGGCACCTGCATGAGCATATTCAAGGCCACTCCGTCTGCACTCAGCTTCATTCACTTTGCTCGCACTATATAATACCAGTTCGAGTTTTAAACTTCTGCCATGCACATTCAGGAGAGAGATACATCGACATAATACTTATGGACACATGCATAAACATATATTCAAGGTCACTCCCACATATCGTCCTAGAGAGCTCCCAATGAACAGTAGGCAGAGAGGGAGAAGAGGACAACAAGCGAAGTGGTGTGACAGAATGTTTCATCGTAGTTTCACTGACTCATGAGGAGGCACACACACACACACACACACACACACACACACACACACACACACACACACACACACACACACACAGAGAGAGAGAGAGAGAACAGGATTGTGTGGCTAAGACAACAAGGAGAGTTGCAGGTGATGCCAGTGATTACCGCAATGATATGCTCTCTCAAGCACTCAACGAAGCCAGTACCCCCAGCACCCTCCGGATCCGACTCGATCAATGCTGCAACACATCAGTCCAGACAAAATGGTACGTGCAACCATTTGTTTAAAGTTCTACAGTCGCCAAAGAGTCAGTTCGGTGAAGACTGGAGAGCAGAACACAGACCAAGCGCTCTACGCATGACATCACTGACTATTCAGAATAGATGACCTGTTGCGGCTTCGCTTGCAAAAACAGATATGATGGGTGATGCATTCATGGTGTAGGCAGCTGCCCAATGCAATCTCTCTCTCTCTCTCTCTCTCTCTCTCTCTCTCTCTCTCTCTCTCTCTCTCTCTCTCTCTCTCTCTCTCTCT